TCTGTATTCTTCGAACTATGATTTGTAAGTACCTGGTAGGGGAATTAGATATCACTTTCCTCTGCCCAACAACTGGGATCATCTACCTGTACAAACATTTAGCATGACTATATTCCAGGCCTTCATCTATTCCCCCTTCTGAAGCTTTTACTTCTTTCCCTCCCCGGTAAGATGAGAAACAAGTTTACAGACTCCTCTCCCCACCACCTTATTTGTATACATACAAATGTATATACTTATAAATTTATGTATAGGTGATCCTCAACTTACAACAGTTCATTTAGTGACCGTCCAAAGTTACCAAGGCACTGAAAAAGTGACTTATGACATTTTTCACACTTACAACTATTGTGGAATCCCCACAATCACGTGATTTACATCTGGATGCTTGACTCACATTTATGACGTTTGCAGTGTCCCAGGGGTCATATGATCATTCTTTTGTGTCCTTCCCCCTTCAATGGGGAAGCCAGATTTACTTAACAACTGTGTTACTAATTTAACAACTGCAGTGATTCACTTAATAAATGTGGCAAGAAAAGTTGTAAAATGGAGCAAAACTCACTTAACAAATTTCTCACTTAGCAACAGAAATCTTGGGCTCAATTTTGGTCGTAAGTCGAGGACTACCACTATTTGCATATATTAAGCACTTGTAATTATTTTGGGAAATTTCCTCAGGCCTCATTATTTTGCTTTTAGATTAAATTTTCCAGGTTTAAAAGTGATCAGAATGGCTTCTTTAAATTCATACTAAGAAATGATCGGGCTGCCAGATCCTGATAGCAAATGGTCAGATTACCCACTAGGGTAACGTTCCAATTCTACTTTCTAGATTTTTGTACTTCAGTTCCGATAGCATTATATTATGCTCAAATGGGAATTTTTAAAGGACTCTTTAGGAATATGCATTTGGGAATTAAAGCCTATAAATACCCAGAAGCCCTAATACCTATAATTAAGCAACCTCAGGGTGGTAAAATGAAAGACAGGAAATACAGGAAATCCCTGATTTTCACAACCATTCAAAGTTACAATGGCACTGAAAAAAAATGACTTATGACTTGCCTTCACACTTCTAACCACTGCAACATCCCAATGGTCACATGATCAAAATGTGGGTGTTTTGCATCACGCATGTATTTGACCATTGCAGTATCTGAGTGCCATTAGATCACCATTTGCGATGTTCCCAGCTGCAGTTAATGGAGGAAGCCACTTTTACTTAGCAATCATATGATTCATTTAATAACTGCTGTGAGTCACTTAATAACTGTGGCACAAAAGGTCACAAAATTGGGTGCAACTGACTTAAGAGCTGCCTTATTTACCGACAGAAATTCTGGTCCAAATAAATCAAGGATTCTCTGTAAAAACAACTGCTGCTGCTGCTGTTTCTAATGTCTATCTTTCAAATAGTCAAAAAGGCATTTTTAATAAATATACAATATCACTAACTTGGTTTTAACCAATGTAATACTATAAAAACTGCAAGAGTTGATATGGTTCTACTGGTAACTACCTAAGTATCAAAACAGCTCATACAGTTGCCAGAACTAAAAGTGTAATTTCAGTTGTGAAAAGAGCTTGTAGGAATGAATTGCACAAACATAATTAAATTCTGGCTGAACATTTCCACAAGAATAATTTATGCATTATCAGAATAACACAACTGGATTATGTAATCTTGATTGTTTGGGACATTTTAAGGAAAACTCTAAGCAGGCTATATGAATCACTGAAAATTCTGCAATAGTCTTTTAAAAATACAATCACATGAAGAAATGCAAAACACAATGTTTTGATTCCAATACACTGGCTATTGCTAATCAACAGCTGATAACCAGAAGATATATGAACACAATGCACATTATTTGCATATTTGCACATTATTTGTAGTCATTATATACCTCAGCAATGAAACAAGTGCAATCATGCCAGCATTTTTCACACTCTATGACTATGCTTTGTTTTTAAGGGGTTTTTTTCTGACTTTTCTTTTAAAAATACTGCTTCTAGGCTACAAAATAGGCTTATTTTAGAACTCAGCATTTGTTTTGATGATTTGTTATCAATGCAGAACAAAACATAAATTAAGCCTTATACACTTAAATAGCCAATTATGCAATTTGGGCTACAATTCATATTATTACTGTTCTACTTATCTAAGAGCAGTAGACAAAATAAACCTTTAAAACTACTAAGTAAAAAGAGTAACAATGCAGACATCAATCACAGAAAACTCTAAAATAATTAAAATATAGTCTTTTAAAAATGAAGTCCATTTGAAAAATAAATTTCAAAGATAGTATCAGTGGTGCATTTTGAAAATTGTTACCACCGGTTCGGTGGGCGTGGCTAGGTGGGTGTGCTTTGCATGCGCGTGCACACTTTGCTCAGGCGCAGAGGCGTTTTGACTCGTCTCCTGCAATCCTGCACTCGCCCTGTCACTTCAGCAGCTGCCGCGCGGCACTTACTGTGCCACAGAAAGCAGCTGGGCTTCAAAAGCAGGACCTAAAGGTTAGTATGGGAGCCCGGGTGGGCCCAACACGGAGCATCTGAAGAACTGGTTTGGTCTCCGCTGCTCATCACCGCTACCAGCTCAGCAGAACCGAGCCAAACCAGTAGAATAACACCACTGGATAGTATGGTCCTGGAAGTATTACTATGACTGACTACGGTGGGCAAATACAGAGAAGATGTACATATCATGCTAAATTCTAATGTGTATGATTTGGGGCCTATTGACATACATGAGTAGTCTTTGCCACAAGAGTTTGCAAACCATCAATGCAAAGGATGAGCTATCTCAATGTTGTGGGACTCTGTATGTTGCAAAGTAAGAAAGGCTAGGTTTTGGAAGAGGATCTGCATTTCTAAATTATGTCTAAATGGTGTAGGCATAATTTTGTGTTTTACTACCTTAAAATAGTAAATCATGCCCAATGCAGATAGCAAAAGTGGGATTTGAAATTGAACTCTCTTGATTTATGGCTTATCAGGCAATCAGCTCATTCAATGTGAACCCACCATCAATCTTGCCTCATTTATCTTCTGGTGGGTTGCATTGGCCTCTAGATTCGCATTAAAAGAAGTAGTCATGACAGACCATATTTTCCTCCCATATTAGAAAACCCAAACTCTAAGTTATGTTTAATGTTAATTTTAGGTAGCAGAAATAAGCCACTACTGTAAATTACAATGTTAGGTTGGCTTGTTTCCATTCATTGCAAATTTATCATTAAAATCAATTTTTTATTTATTTTATCAATTTAATTTTATTATTAATTTTAATGACCTAATTTATGCAGCCGTTCTCTTAATTATTCTCATCTAATCCTTTTCTTCCTCTAAGCCCAGAAGATACCAACAATCTTATAGAGGTTTCTAATCATAATTTGTCTTTCTAGCCTGATTGCTTTTGTCTTTGTAAATTTCTTATCAGAAAACTTCCTAACAGCAAGCTTCAAAAAGTAATATTACAGTTCTGAAGCTACAACCATTCATTTAGTGACCATTCAGTGACCAGCACTGAAAAAAGTTATAAGCGGTCTTCACACTTATGACTGTCGCAGCATCTGAATGGTTATGTGATCAAAATCCGGTCACTTGACAAGTGGCATGCATTTATGACAGTTGCACTGTTCCAGGGTCATGTGATCACCATTTGTAACCTTCCCACCCAACTTCCAACAAAGTCAAAAAAGAAACCAAACTTGCTTAATCTGTGTGAATTTGTTTAGTGAATATCATTCACTAAACAAATGCAGTGATTTGCTTAATAACTGGGAAAAGGGTCATAAAATGGGACAAAATTCACTTAGCAGTTGTCTAGTAGGCAACAGAAAATTTGGGCTCCATTACAGTCCTAAGTCAAAGATTACCTATATATTATAGGTAGTCCTCAATTTATGATCACAATTAGGACCTGAATTTCTGTTGCAAGGTCTCTATTAAGTGAGTCATGATCAATTTTAACGACTTTTTTTGCCACGGTTCTTAAGTGAACCACTGCAGTTGTTAAGTGAATCACATGGACTTCTGCCCTTGACTCTGCTTGTCAGAAGTTGCTGGAAAAGTTGTAAATGGCAATCATATGACCCCCCACCAACACCCTGCAACTGTCATAAATATATGCCACTTTTCCAAGTGCCCAAATTTTGATCACATGATACTGCCACAGCCATAAGTGCAAGTTGTAAGTCACTTTTTTCAGCACTGTTGTAATTTTGAACAACCATTGTACAAATTGTTATAAATCAAGGACTACCTGTATCCAAACACATTAACCTAAAATCCAAAATATGCTTCTTGTAAGCAAATGCAAAGGCAGATAATTTAGAATATACTGGAGAAATACAAAATTGTTCCACCGGCAATTCTTTTTCTGTCTAAGTTCCAACTATATATCTGTAAATATAAGCACACTGTGGATCAGAAAGACATGGAGCAGCTGCCAAAAGGAAAACAAAACTAATTTAATTAATCAAGGAGAGAAGCAACCTAGAACTAAGGAGAAAATTCCTGACAGTTAGAACAATTAATCAGTGGAACGAATGTTTCCAGAGCAGGGAGTTCGACTAGAAGACCTTCCAATTCTAATTATCTACAGCCTTTTTTTTAACACAATTTCTCTGCTAGACACATATTCTTTGCTAAAAGTATATTTCTTCTGCCAAGTTATTTTGAAACAGAAGAGACTGTTAAAATTTTATTAAACTTTTATTATGGTCTATTGTACTAGCCTTCATCAATCTGAGCATCTTCACGTTGTATGAATACTTCCACATTTTTCAGCAATAACCTTGCTGGTTGGGGATTCAAGAAACTGAATTCCAGACATTTTTAATGCACAAGATGGAAAAGGCTAATGTAGAACGCCTTCTAAAAATGCAAGATATTAATAGAAATTATAGGCTTTAGTTATGCCATTTAAGAAATAGCCAATACATTTAATAAATACATAAACAAAACAAAACAAAAATAAAAGCAACCTGTACCTTGAAGGTGACAGGGAACATCATACTCAATTTCATCATGTCTTGATGGGCTAAGAAACAAGGTTCCATCCACCAGTGGAAACTGTTCAAATACAGGCAATGCTCTATGGCATAACGCACAGTTGACAACATTTCGATGACTGGCACTGAGTGCTGCAAGAATGAATTTACGTAAATCTTCTCCTTGACCCACTTGGGCATCATCCTCCATGCGGACATGGAAAGTGTTCAATTTATGTCTAGGTATGTGAGCAAGGAGTTCAGATAAATCAAGCCTTCTCAAAAATTGTACTGGGGCATCAAAATGTCCTGATCTGTGTACTTGTAACCCAGATGTCCCATAATCAAAGTGAGCATTTCTAAACAAACCACTATTGGCCATATTCTTTCTATGAGGTTCTAAATGAATGGCATTCTTCAAAAATTCTCCTAAGTATCGTGAAGAGCGGGGGCCACTGAAATGGGTGGGGGCCAGAACAGAATAACCTGCAGGGGGGGACTGTCCAGGAGAACCACAGGGAGAACGGACTGCATAGCTACCACCAGCAGTGCCTTTCTCTTGAGAGTTTTGCCTGTCCATTGAATGCCGTCGTTGGAGATCATGGTTTAAACCTTTCTGTGGTTTGTTAGCAGACCGGCACTTTTTAAGATCTTCTGAAGACTCAGATGTTGATCTTCCACTGCTTTTTTCGGACCCTGATTTTTTCTTCTTTTCATCTTGCATTCGTTTTACTTGGTACCAATCCGTGTCTTTTTTTAAATGGCCTTGCCCACATCGACATGAACAAAAACGGAAGGCAAGATCATATCCTTTCTTGGTCCACATATTTTGCCGACACTGTTTCTCGTTCCAACTCCTTGCTCTTCCGATGCAATTAAATTGAGCCAAAATGCTGCTCTCCCATTCGTAAAAACACTGAAGATGCATCCAAGTGCTGTAGGGACAATGCTCATTGTTGCAAACAACTTTCTGGTAGTCATCTTTTTCTAGGTCAACAGGCCGTCCAAAGCTACACAACAGTGGTGTAGCACAAGGTGCTTCTGTGGAATGCAGAAGAGATAAGACAGATGAGCTGCACGATTCAAAATTAATTACTTGCAATCTTTATTTTAGGTTTTTTTACTATATAAGAGAGATATGCTAAACTACAATCCAGGAGCTCTAAGCACATATCTAGTTCTATGTACATTTAAACTATGCTGTGAACTGAGATTCCATATATCAAATGAGCAGGGTAAGCCTAATGGATTGACCTTTTATTTTATTGTTCACAACACCTAAGAGCTGCAGAAAGCACCAAGGCATATCATTCAGTAAATTTTGTTTAAAACACTGAGTTTGAATTTATGACATCTGTTTATTTTTTTAGTTTATTCCTTATAAAATTAGATATCTTACTATAATGTTTTCAGAAAATATCAAAATTAGAATATATTTCAAACTGTTTTTATTTAATAGCAATAAAGTATTTAATATATTGTTGCCTAGATATGTGTTTTTAAGATGTTAGTATAGACCTGAACTTATTTCTGGTAATTGTAAGTTTGTAGTATTTTTCAGCATTAAGCCAAAAAATTAGCTATATATGACATTAATGTAATATTAATATTGTATACTATTAAGAAGTTATTAAATTAGGTTTTGATGTGTATGAGTCAAAGAACATTAATATGTATTTATTTAAGGCTAGTCTGCCAACATATAAACATCTTTCAAAACTATATTTCTTTAAAAAATTGTATTCCAGAGTCAAAAATTAAAGTGGTCTTTGATATATTTGAAGAACTTGAATAACCGTTATTGTTGAGAAATACACCTTTTGATTCACGAAGACTTCTATCTCCAAAATCTTAGTAAGCTAACTTTCAGGAATTTAAACCTTCTGATATGGTAAAAGAGATATTTTAGAGAGAATGATACAAATTAGGCTATATATAGGACTAAATATTTAGCCCTAATATTTGGAAGCATAACCAATTCTCCCAAACTCCAAAACAAGAACACAACTCTTGAAATCCCACAACCACCATTTTAAGAAAGCACACATTTCTGGTAACAATATGTGACAACCAGAGCAATAAAATGAGAATCCATGTATACTTGGAATCATTTGATTGAAAAACCCATATTTTCTTTTTTCATATTTAATTGCTAGTGAATTCCATAACATACAGTCCTCAACTTACAACAGTTCATTTGGTGACCATTCAAAGTTACAACGGAACTGAAAAAAGTGACATGACCATTTTTCACAGTTACAACCTTTGCAGCATCCCCATGGTCCTGTGATCAAAATTCAGATGCTTGGCAACTGCTTCATATTTATGACCGTTGCTGTGTCCCAAGATCATGTGACCTTTTGCGACCTTCTGACAAGCAAAGTCAATAGGGAAGCCAGATTCACTTTACAATCAGGTTACTAATTTACCAGCTGCAGTGATTCACTTAACAACTGAGGCAAGGAAGGTCGTAAAATGGGCAAAATTCACATAACAAATGTCTCACTTTAACAACAGAAATTTTGGGCTCAATTGTCATAAGTCGAGGACTATTTGTAATTCCCATGAATAATCGCCTACCCAAATTATTGTGAGGCATGTGAATCTAAAGTAATAATAAATTGTATTTTCATACATTTTCATCTAGAAATAAAAGATGACCCTCTCCACACTGACACAGGCATTAATAAATATATTTAAAAAATAGTGGTGCAAGAGTAAAGTCTTACTTGATAATGACTGGAATACCGAGAGAGACTAGACTATTATATTATCATCTCATTTATATATTATGTTTAGAATAGAATTTTATATTAAGATCAAACGATACTGACCCACACTGCAGTTGTTTAAGTTAATCAAAGTCAACTGCCATCAGGGAAGTCAACCAAGCAACATAAAAATTTTATTTCATATTCCCATACATTAACCCTCTGAGCCAATGTGAAACAATGGTCAAATGAAGAACATTAACCTCTATAATGAGTTTTTTCTTCCAAAATACCATTTTGGACAACCATTCTCTAATTTGAAGCAATAAATGCTCTGCATTTCATTTAGCAGCTACACATATAAAACTGGTCTGTAATTAAATGGACAATTATTATTCTTTTTATTAAAAATTAGAAGAATACAATACTTGTATTTTATCCTTTGGAAAGGTAGTCAGATGAATTAAGGTATTTAAAATCCTTAGAATGATTAAAATCTGCCATTCAGAATTAACATATGTAGCCAGGCAACTGGCCTACTTTAATGATTAAAATTAATTGCTTGTAAAATAAGCTATCCCATTTTTAGAATTAACTGATTCTCATCTGCTCTCTCATGCGAAAAATATTCACAAAAAGAAATATACAGTGTACAAGATTCCTCTCTTCCAACAAAACAGTAAAAACGGGAAAGAAAAAAAGAAAAACAGTATGGAAATGTGGAAGGGAGAAATTAGTTCCACAGGAAGGAAAAAGAAAAGGATGGAAACTGAATTAAGATAGGGAGCAGGGAAGAGGTAAATAAACAGAGAAGAGGAGAAAAACAGAAATCCTAGATCCAGCATATGAACATGTAATAAACTAGATAATTCAAACAACCAATCGAGAAAACCAATCAGCTTCTCAGAATTTAAATACAGCACCGAATGAACAGCCAACCACGCAACCAACTGACCAAACTGGCACTCAAGACATATATAATAAGCTAAAGAGGAATAGGACAAGACTTCTACAAAACTCCCGCTAATGATGTTACCTAGCCTGGTAACAAAACGTTTAGGAATTAAATGGCAAGTTTGGAGAGCAAACCACTGCCAAAATCTAAAACCCAAACTACAAGTATTTTCTATTATTTCAAAATGGAAACCCTGCTTAGACATTACAGACACATTTTTACAGGCAGGAAATCTTCAACGATTCACACTTTCTGTCCATTCCTGCTACTTTTTTTATCCTATCACAAATCTATGGAACACTTAAATATTAGCACAATAACAAACTTTCTCTTGGGGGCTTAGTAATAGGAGTTATTAACATGTTTCTTTAGAGAGAGAGAAAAAACCCCTAAAGTGAAGAGTTAGTGCTTCCAATATCCATTATCAGCAGGAATATCTGACCTGAAGAAATAAACTAAAAAAAATAAATATCCTTATTTCAAATGGCATGCTTCCTTTTTTCTTATTCAGACACTTTTTAAAAACTCCAGGAGTATTTGCATATCATCATGTTGTGGCTCCGGGCTTGGATTCAGCTCCTGTGACTGATATGAGTTCAAGTGAGGAGGTCATGGCAGAAAAATATGAGCTGGCATGGCTCAGTGATTGGACTGGTAACCAGGATAAGGAGATGGACGTGACAAAGGACGACAGACCTGATGTATTAGAATTGTCAGGACCTTTGACCTCCTCTGGTTCCTTATCTGATCAACAGCCGGGAATGGCTGACAGGGAAGTTTTGAGAGAGTCTTCTAGTGGAGATGAGAACTTGGAAAATTTGTGGTTAAATGTAAAAAACAGAAGACAGTTGAGAAGGCAAAATCAGCTGGAGCAAATGAGGAGAGCGAGTCAGTAAATTAGCACGTTGCCTCAATGAGTATAAAAGGACACAGCTGGGCTGGTACATTTTGCCAGGAACAAAGTGACTACTTGAGTGAGGACGTTACAGCAAGAAGCTCTGAGACTGGAGATTTATTGCCAGGACTGGTTTGCCGGACAGAGTAAAGATTTATGCTGTGGTTTCTGCCAGCCGTTATCTTGTAAGACTTCTTTCTGTTTGATTTAATTGTGAAACGGCTGCTTTCTGTTTTGTTCGTTTGAATTTTGAAGGGGAGTCATAACATTATAGTTCCTGGCCACAAACAAACCATCTTTAAAGCAAGATGGATTCAAATCAACTGCAGCGTTTGGTAGAGCAGCAACAACAACAAATTAATCAACTACTGCAAAGCAATGTGACGCTTCAGAATCAGGTAACACAATTGCTGAATTATGTTACCAGCTTACCAAGCCCGGCTGCTGTTCCCCCTGCCCCTCCTGTGAGGAAAAGCCCAGTATCCATGCCGGAGAAATTTTCTGGGCAAATGGACAGGTTCCCGGCATTTATGGGTCAATGCCAATTGTTTATCTCTCTGAGGTCTGAAGACTTCCCAACCGACCGGTCTAAAGTAGGATTTATGATCAGTTTATTAACTGGGCAGGCTGCTAATTGGGCTACTCCCTTGTTAGTTCAAGATAGCCCGTTGTTGAACAATTTCCAGGGTTTTCTCCAACAAATGAGAGTGATGTTTGAGAACCCAATTAAGATACAAACTGTGGACAGACGGTTACGGGACATTAATCAGGGGAAACGTTCCCTGCAGGAATACGTTGCAGTATTTCGTTTGCTGTGTATGGACTCTAACTGGAACGAACCGGCTCATATGGCTGCATTCCAGGAAGGCTTGTCTGATGCCATCAAAGATGAGCTGGTCCATGCAGAGCGGGCTTTAACTTTGGATGCATTGATAGTTCAGTGCTTACGAATTGAAGCTCGTTTACAGCAACGTGGACGCAAACGGCTCGTTATGGAACCATCTTTGTTTTCTCGTGCACAACCCACGCCGAGAGTTTTCCAACCCACGGTTAATGCTGAGGAGCCGATGGAGTTAGGCGCACTCCGCCCTCGCTTAACGGTGCGAGAACGTTCGAGAAGGTTCCAGGAAGGCTTGTGCCTTTATTGTGGGGGTCCGGGACATTTTGCAAATTCCTGCACTCGGAGAAGGACTTGCAGACCTGTGCCTGAAACCACTCCTGGCCCGTCAGGAAACGGGGTAGGCCCGACCTCAGGGAAACCCTATGTCGGGCACATCCTCCACCCCCATCCCAAATTGCCGAAGTAAATCCTGGTCCTCCTCAGCATTTACTTTTGGACACTTGTATCTTCTTACAGTCCCGGAAGGAAGGAATTCCTGCCGTTGCGCTGGTGGATTCAGGGGCTACAACCAGCTTTATGGACTGTGCTTTTGTTAAACATTTTGGAATTCCTTTGATTCCTGTGAATCCACCCATTAAG